CCTGATCATATCATATTATATGCAGCTTTGGGGTATTATTTATGAGATATGAAAAATTCCAAAGTTGCATATAATACGATCCGGAGGTAGTATTATTTTGAGTCTCAATTAGATAGTATGCACTGATTGCTATACTTTAGGCATTTTACTTGTTATTGATCTTCTTGCTAGTGTTGGGAGTTTATTTTGTTTGATTGATTGTTAGTTTGCAAGTGTTGGATTTGGATTAATGAACATTAAAGAGATAGGTAGTATTAGCATCTTTTGTGCAACAAAATCTTTGTTTTCATTCTTTAATTATGAGATAGGTAGGTATTTTTTGAGTTTCATAGTTACCCATTTCCACATACGTATAATCTTATTGAATAAATTGCCATTAAGAGACTGTTCTCTTCAGCTTATTTTAGTTCCAACAATTTTAGTCCAGTTTTTAATTTCCTTCTCTTATAAAATATTCATTTCATTTAATCTGAACAGGTCCTAAAAAACACTCCGTAATCAACAACAAAATTAGTGTTAGTACTAACAAAAATCTTAATAATAAAAAAAAATTGTCATAAATTATGTCATGGACATGAAAACCTAGAATTCTGGCTTAACTTCATAGATTAAAAAATAATACTCCCCCCGTTTCAATTTGTTAGTCCCATATACTATTTTGGGTGTTTCAAAAAGATCTACCAATATTGAATGTATTCCACTTTTAACTTACTTTTTATTTCCTATTTTATACATATTAAATTATAATTGATTAGATTAATGATAGTGAATTAATGACATGACTCTATTTTATACATATTTTATACATATCAAGATCTACCAATATTGAATGCAATTATGGCTAATGCTTTACTAAAAAAATCAAAAAAATTATATAATGCAACACTATTTATGAATTGTTTTTTTTTACTTTAATGCTAGATTCCAAATATTCTCATTTTCTTATTTTATGTGATTGATTCCATATGAGACTATTATATTGAAACGGAGAGAGTATTAATATTAATGAACACGTAACAGTTTAATAAATTCTCTTTTATTGTTCTAAACCCGTGAATAAGCTAACTAATAAAACATTTTATGTTAGAAGATAAGTCTAATAAGTGAATGCCAATTATTGATTTGATTACACAATGCTCATATAGGTCAAAACACTTGTGAACTCATATGGCTCTATGTGAGTAATTATTGTATTATTAGTGTAACTCATGGCTATAAATACAATGCCATAGAAGTAAGAATACAATGATAACACTACAACAATTTCACCCATCTTCTTTCACTCTTTTACTCCTTTTAATCAAAACTTTTCTATCGGTAAATTCTTTAACACGTTATCAGCACCAGTTTTCAGTCAGGTATATTTATACCTACTTCTAAAAATTTATAACAAATAATACTATCTACTTCTAAATGTTTCGAGGAGTATGCTCTATAGTTGCCCATATTTGGGATCCTCTATAACAGAAACTCAAACATTTACTATATATACCTCAAAAACAACGGTGAAAGTTCTCTTACTTGTGAATTTACTACTATCATCTTTTGTTTATTCATGTTGATGTTTCTTTGTTTGATCCATGTTGATATTACATACTCATTTTACGTAAATTTTTACCTTAGTTATTATAATTGCTAAGTAGTAGCTTTGCATGCATATTATTATTAACTAGATTAACAAAAAGATGCAGCCTTTTATACTTATTATTTTTCTTACTTTTACATACTTTTTGTGTTTGTTTCCGTTTTCGAACCCATGATCTTTTATAGATATTAGGGCTCTCGGACCACTATGGCTTGCATTCCCAGTGTGATAACCTTTTACAATTATAAATATATATATATGGACCATAATTTTATGCCAGTACGTTAGACTATTATATGATATTTTTACAGTTGTACAGAACAGTAACGGATAAACCTACCTCTATAAAAGACGGATTTTTCCCCCAATTTCACCACAAATCCCTTATCCCTTCCCACTTTTTATCCAAAAATCACCTAAAATAAAAAAAAATTTCACCCCCTTCTTCTCCGATATGTTCCCCGACGACGGCAACCAAAACACCCACAACTTCACTTTTGAGGAAGATTTAATGAAGATAAAACAATATTTCCTTCTAATTACGGCGCTTGTAATTTTATTAGTAGCAATATTAATTTTTGTCATTATGTATAAGTAAAACTCACTTATTTTGTCGTTTTAGTATATTAAAAGCTTGTTTTTGTTTTATTATGTATGTTTGTTGTTATTAATCCTCATTGTATAATATTACCGTTATCATTATAATTATTGTTACTACTGTCATTGTTGTCGTTTTGCTGTTTTTTTTGCAACTAACATGATTAATTTTTGTCTAATCATATAATTACTCACAATAATAAACCAAGGGGGAGAAAAGACTATATTATTTATGGTTTATTATTATTAATTTAATTATCACGTGTCTTATTAACTTAATTATAAATATGGAAGAACTAAACATGTGAGTTGTACATATAATTTGTTATTATAAACTAATTATCACGAAATTTGTTGTAGCTAAAATGGGAGACCTTATGAAAAGACAGTTCAGCATCTTAGATTTATCTGGAAAGAAATTTCTGGAATGGAAAGTGGACGCAATGATGAATTTGAAAGCTCAAGGCTTGGAGTACACTGTTAAAGAAAATAAAAGTCCCTCTGGTCAAACAACTGATACTACCACTTCTGCAATGACTGTTGCAAAACCTGTTACTGAACAAGATAAGGCAAAAGCCTTAGTGTTGTTAAGGCATCATTTACATGAAGGCCTTAAAACTGAGTACATGATGGTTGAAGATCCCAAAGAATTATGGGATTGCCTTAATGAAAGATTTGGACACCACAAAAGGGTGCTCCTTCCTAAGGCATTATTTGACTGGACAAATTTACAGTTCCAGGATTTCAAATCTGTAATTGATTATAATTCAACCATACATGAGATAGTGTCTATATTGAGATACTGTGATCATCCAGTTTCGGATGAACAGATGATTGAAAAAACACTCACTACCTGTCATGCAAGTAACATACTGTTGCAAGAACAGTATCGTGAAAGAGGTTTTAAAAAGTTGAATGAATTAATGAGTGTATTGCTTGTTGCGGAACAAAATAGTGAACTTTTGTTGAAAAATCATAACCTGAGACCAACTGGGTCTTTGGCCACTCATCATGAGGCAAATGCAACAAATTCCTATCCACCCGAGTCAAATGCTACAAGAAGAGGTGGACGTGGAAATTACAATGGCCGTGGAAAAGGCCGTGGAAATTATCGCGGACGAGGCCGAGGACGTGGTAGAAACAATTTTCAAAGAAACAGTAATTTCAAAAATTTTGAAAAACAGAAGGGACAGTCATCTGGAAGCCACAAACAAACTCTTTCAAAAGGAAAAGACACATGTTACAGATGTGGCATGACAGGACATTGGGGACGTACTTGTCGTACGGCCAAACATTTGGTAGACCTTTACCAGGCTTCTGTAAAAGGCAAAGAGAAAAATGCAGAAGCAAATTATGTTAATGAAGAAAATGCTCCATGTCCTACCCTTGATGTGTCCGATTTCTTCATGGACAATGCTGAAACTGGGAATGATTTCATTCTTGGAGAAAACAACAATGCTTAGGTTCCCCATCTACTAATGTAACATATGCTATGTTTTAATGTATTTTCTTAGTTCCCTGTATTTTAAATTTCTAGTCATGTACTTTAAATCTTTATCATCAATAAAAGTTTGTATGATATTATTCTAAACTAATCTTAAATTTATTTTATGAAGATATGGATCTACCTGAAGTTAGTTCCGAATATCAATGCCTTTTGGACAGTGGAACAACACATACTATCTTAAAAGATAGAAAATATTTTTCACAACTAAAGTTGTTTCAAGCAAATGTAAACACCATTTCCGGGACAGCTAAATTAATTGAAGGATCTGGAAAGGCTTGTATAATGCTTCCAAATGGAACAAAATTAATAATCAATAATGCTTTATATTCGAGTAAATCTCGAAGAAATCTCATAAGCTTTAAAGATGTATGCCAAAATGGCTATCATCTAGAAACAATGACGACAGATCAAAAAGAGTATATATGCCTCACGGCAGAAAAACATGGCAAGAAACATATATATGAGAAATTGCCAGCATACTCTTTGGGGTTATACCGTATAAACATACGACCCGTGGAAATCAATATGATATCTAACCAGAAGTTAGATGACAAACATTTGATTATTTTATGGCATGATCGTTTGGGACATCCAGCAACTGGGATGATGCAAAGAATAATAGCACATTCAGTTGGACATTCAATAAGAAATGTCAAAATTCCCCGATCAGATGAATTAACATGCTCTGCATGTTCACTTGGCAAATTAATAATAAGGCCATGTATGAACAAAATTGCTACTGAATCTCCAAAATTCTTGGAAAGAATTCAGGGAGATATATGTGGGCCAATTAATCCAGCATGTGGACCATTTCGATATTTCATGGTTTTAATTGATGCCTCTACACGATGGTCACATGTTAGTCTACTTTCAAGTAGAAATGTTGCCTTAGCAAAATTACTTGCCCAAATCATCAAATTAAGAGCACAATTCCCAGATCATACAATAAAGAAAATAAGACTTGACAATGCTGTGGAATTTACATCCCAAACATTTAATGATTATTGTATGTCAATTGGAATTGATGTTGAACACCCAGTAGCTCATGTTCATACACAAAATGGTCTAGCTGAATCACTAATTGAGAGATTACAATTGATTGCAAGACCATTATTAATGAGGTCAAGATTGCCATCATTTGCTTGGGGACATGCTATAATACATGCAGCAGCGCTAATTAGATTGAGACCTACAGCTTATCATAAATTCTCACCACTACTACTTGTTTGTGGTCGAGAACCAAGTATCTCACATCTAAAAATCTTTGGTTGTGCTGTATATGTTCCCATTGCTCCACCCCAACGAACAAAAATGGGTCCACAAAGAAGGCTGGGAATTTATGTCGGGTTTGAATCCCCCTCTATAATTAAATACCTTGAACCATTGACTGATGACTTATTTACGGCTAGATTTGCGGACTGTCACTTTAATGAAACAGTATTCCCAGCCTTAGGGGGAGAGAAAGTGGACCCACATAAGAAAGAAATTGAACTCATTTGGAATGCAACACAACTGTTGATGTTAGACCCACGAACAAATATGTGTGAACAAGAAGTTAAGAAAATTGTTCATTTACAAAGTGTTGCAAATCAATTGCCCGATGCATTTGTAGACACAAAGAAGGTGACAAAATCACATATACCAGCAGAAAATGCCCCTGCACGTATTGAAATCCCAACTGGTAATAAGGCCATAGAAAATGAATCTCAGGCACGCAGAAAGCGTGGAAGACCACTTGGTTCAAAAGATTCTAAGCCAAGGAAACTAAAAAGATTGGATGGAATAGAAAATGAGACTAATAATGTTCCCCCGTCAGAAGGTCAAGAAAGACCAAATGTGGATGAAAGTAAAGAAAATGATGATAATCCAAAAGGGGACGAACAAGAAGACAACCTACGGGGAATGAACAAGATGTTCAAAACATCGATAACAATGAAATTTCAATGAATTACGTCTCTACAAAAACGCAGTGGAATAGGAAAGATGTTATCGTTAATGAAACATTTGCAAATTCCATCGCAATCGACATCGTGTCTGATGAAAATGATGTTGAACCAAGAACTGTAGAAGAATGTCGACGTAGGAGTGATTGGCCAAAGTGGAAGGAGGCAATGCTGGCTGAGTTAAAGTCACTTGAAAAACGAGAAGTTTTTGGGAAAATAACCCTTACACCAGCAGGTGTAAAACCCGTTGGATACAAATGGGTATTTGTAAGAAAACGTAATGAGAAAAATGAAATAGTTAGATACAAGGCAAGACTTGTAGCCCAAGGATTTTCTCAAATTCCAGGGATTGATTATGAAGAAACATATTCTCCAGTGGTTGATGCAACTACATTAAGATTTCTGGTAAGTTTGACAGTCACAAAAGGACTGCAAATGCGATTAATGGATGTAGTGACTGCGTATTTGTATGGGTCACTTGATACGGACATTTACATGAAAGTCTCCGAAGGACTAAAACTACCAGAAAACCACAAGCCTAGACAATTGCTTTCCATAAAACTAAAAAGGTCACTTTATGGATTGAAACAATCTGGAAGGATGTGGTACAACCGTCTGAGTGAATACCTTATGAGAGAAGGATTCAAAAACAACCAAGTTAGTCCCTGTGTTTTCATAAAGCGATCACAATCAGGATTCGCTATCATTGCAGTTTATGTTGATGATTTAAATATCATCGGAACCCCAAATGAACTCGAGAAAACTGCAAAATACTTGATGAAAGAATTTGAGATGAAAGACCTTGGGAAAAATAAATTTTGCCTTGGACTACAAATTGAGCACTTGAGTCATGGCATTTTTGTCCATCAATCAAACTATACAGAAAGAGTTTTGAAACGTTTCTTCATGGACAAAGCAACCCCAACCAACTTCCCAATGGTTGTTCGTTCTTTGAATATGAAAAATGATCCATTCAGACCCCGAGAAGAAAATGAAGAGATTCTGGGTCCAAAAGTACCATACTTAAGTGCAATTGGAGCCTTAATGTACTTAGCTAACAATACTAGACCCGACATAGCTTTCTCTGTGAATTTGTTAGCCAGGCACAGCAATGCACCAACATATAGGCATTGGAAAGGGAGTTCGACACTTACTCCGGTACCTACGAGGGACACAAGACCTTGGTTTATATTACCAACCAAAACAAGATGCTGCTCTCATTCGGTATGCAGACGCTGGATACTTATCAGATCCTCAAAATGTCAAGTCACAAAATGGATATGTATTCACTTATGGCGGCACTGCAATATCATGGAAATGAACAAAGCAGACATTGACCACGACATCATCAAATCATGCAGAGTTGATAGCCCTCTATGAAGCAGGACGGGAATGTGTGTGGCTAAGGTCGATGATCAGTAATATCCAAAAGGAGTGTGGAATGAACGCAATAACAGAAGACCCAACCATCATCTTTGAAGACAATACAGCATGTATCGCTCAAGTAACTGAAGGGATATATTAAAGGAGATAAAACGAAACATATTGCCCCAAAACTGTTCTTCACACATGATCTGCAAAAGGACGAGGAAATAAATATCCAGCAAATTCAGTCTTGTGAAAATCTTGCCGACCTTTTCACCAAATCACTTCCTTCGTAGAAATTTGAACAGTTAGTTCACAAAATCGGAATGCGACATCTTTGTGAACTATGCTGAGATCAGGGGGAGTATTATATATACTGCACTCTTTTTCCCTTCGATCAGGTTTTTATCCCACCGGGTTTTTCCTGACAAGGTTTTTAACGAGGCAGTATACCAAAGCATATAATACAATAATATTGGTGTACTCTTTTGGCTATGGGTCTTATCCCATAAAGTTTTACCTAACAAGATTTTTAGTGGCATTCAAGGGGGAGTGTTAGAAGATAAGTCTAATAAGTGAATGCCAATTATTGATTTGATTACACAATGCTCATATAGGTCCAAACACTTGTGAACTCATATGGCTCTATGTGAGTAATTATTGTATTATTAGTGTAACTCATGGCTATAAATACAATGCCATAGAAGTAAGAATACAATGATAACACTACAACAATTTCACCCATCTTCTTTCACTCTTTTACTCCTTTTAATCAAAACTTTTCTATCGGTAAATTCTTTAACATTTTAAATTTTTTTTGAAAGGGTCTTTGTAAATTGTAATGTTACACATTCGATTTTGTAATGTTATAGGGGGATGTTGATGTTATTGATCTCTTTGATCTTTTAATTCTTTACATATCTTTAGAGCCTCAATCTTGATTGCCTCCTTGTCGAGATTATCAAATCGCTTGTTAAGGCTGTTTATGATCAGGTCGCGGATTGTGTTTCGCTTTTCTCGATCTCTTTCGAAACGGTTGACATCGTCAAGCTCGATCGAACCCATGACAGTTATGAGTTCGTTCAGCCACACAAAGTAGATAAAAGTTGTATTTATAATCGTAATAGTTAGTGTTTTGTTTTTTTTAACTCCTGTGAATGTTTTATGGTATATATATATTACAAATATGTAAAGGAATGATGAATTTACATGCTAGAAAGTAGTCAAGTTTTTTTTTTAATTTTTTTTTTTTAAAAGAAGAGAGTAGTCAAGTTTTAGATATAGGAAAATCATACTATAAAATTTATCTCTTTATGTGTCAAAAACAAAAAAATAATCTCTTTTGACCTCCATCCTTAAAACCAAGAGTTAGTTATGTACATTCGGGTAATTTGCTCATTATTTTTTGCTCATTTAATAAATGAGCAAAAAAATTTACTCAATTTTTAAAATGAGCAAAAATTAAAGAGCAAATAATCCGAATGTATATAGCAAATTCTACTAAAAACCTATCTATTAATATCATAGTATTATATTGCGCCACATAGAAAACGATTAATTATCAATATAACACCCGATTATTTGACTATATTTTTATAGGGTAAAAAGTTGAATTATTTTATTAGAATTGTATACGTAAAAGTTGAATAGATTTTGTAGGAGAAAATTTTGGTTTAGAGTTTTATTTTTCAATTTTGATAGTTTTATTTTTTATTTTTTTAAAAAAGGGTAAATTATAAGTTATAATTTACTATTTTTATATTATAATATTCGTATTAAAGATAACTTCAAAATAAATACATTTGCTCAAGCCTTATGATTTGCTAGGGCATGAGACATCAACCCTTGACATTCCACTTTTTCATCAAATGTTGTGTAACGTAGATAACAACTCGTACTAATTATTTAGTCTAACACGTATGATTTATTTGGATAAATTTTTAAAACTTAAAAAATTGATATATTTAAATAAATTTTTAAGGATGTATAAATACTTAGTTTAGAGAAATATATTCTAAATAAAATTTGTATAAAATTGTTGGTTTATAATTTTATTTTTGACAAAAATCCAAATTTCGTATAAATTAAAGGGAAATTCTCAATGGTAGCCCTCTGTTTTTACTTTTTCTCAATGGTAACCAAATTTTTTTTCAATTATCTTTGGTAGTTCTATACTATTAAAATTTCCCAATCATAACCTCAATGATATGTTTCTGTTAATAATCTGTTAAATCTAACTTTATTATGAACCAAGGTTAACTTTAACATTTAAAAAAATAAAATAAAATAAAAATAAAAAGGCAAAAATCTACACTCAGTAGTCAACACCCACGAGGCCACGACAACCCAGAAGCCACAACCCCCTTCATTTTCCTTTATATTTTTTTTTTTATTATTTTAATTTATTTTCCATTTTCATTCTCCTCCTATATCTCTCATCTTCCTTCAATCTCCAACCATCCCCTTCCAATTCTTCCTTCAGTGCTTTTCATTTCCCCACTTATGTCTTCTTCTATATTAAAATTTAGGGTTCTTGATTTTCTCTGTCCTCCTCAAAAATGTTTGTACAGTATAGATGCTTCGCAGGATCGTCTATGACCTTAGGCCACCACCGACCAAGGCTTGAGCCAAGCTTTCCCTCAGTTCATGGATATCGTTTATTTGATGGTTTTGTTCTCATCAAAAAATTGAGTTTGGGCGATTTTAATGAGATGTAAAAATGGAGTAATAGGTGAGAGAAAAATAGGGTTGGAAAGGAAGAATCAAGAATGAAGGGAGATGTGATTGAATAGTGTTTTGACTTTTAGAGGTGGGATAAGAGAGGAGGGATTTGTGAGAAGGGCTAAAATGAAGGAGAGAGAAATTAAGATTGTGAGAAAGAAGAAGAAAGGATGAGGAAGAAGGTGAGTGCTGAAAAATGAAGGGTATGAAAAGAGATATTGCCGTATCATTAAAGATGGAGGTTCAAATTAAAAATGGCGTTTTGAAGCTTAGTGGTAAAGTTGACTAAGTTGGAGACTTGTGAAAGAAGGGTTGAAGAAGGTGGGTTGATATAACTAACCATAGTTAATAAAAGTTAAATTTAACAGATTTTTAAAAGAAAAAACTCCATTATGGTTACGGTTGAGAAGTTGTGAAAGTATGTGGCTACCAAAGATAATAGAAAAAAAAATTGGTTACCATTGAGAAAAAGCAAAAACAAGAGATTACCATTGAGAATTTCCCTAAATTAAATTATACTTTCAATAAATATCTTATAAATTCCTTAATTTTCAGCAGTGTCGGACACAAGAAATATAGGTTTGTCTCATCAATAATCAACAATTATCAATAATCAATAATATATACTAAAAGACACACCAGCAATGACACGTGTCATCGCCTGGTGTGTCCTAAAAAATATGCTATGTATATAATTTTTTTTTTATTTCTTTGGATCTTCTTTTAAATAAAGTTTAAATGAGGTAAAAAAAAAGTTATCAAAAACGTAAGTAACTTTAATTGTAAAAAATTAATTATCATCTAAAACTTTTGTATACATCCGATTTACACTACTATTAGTGTACATCGATCAGTATAAGGGTAACTTTTAGCTAATTTTAGGGTAACTTTTTTCCTTTCTTTGGGTAACTTTAAACATAATACAATTTTTATATAAATAGATAACATGAAAAGTTTTATAGAGGTAATTTAATTACATTCAATCACTTATAATACAATGGATGTACAATAATTATTGTACACCCGATTTTTTTTAAAATATTTCACTTATAAAAAAAAATCGGGTGTACAATAATTATTGTACATCCATTTAAATATCTCTTAAAGTGATCAAAATTTACCCCTAAAATTAATAAAAGCTACCCTAATATGTATAAAAGTAACCCAATACAAATAAAAATAATCTACGTTTTATTGGTAAAGTATCACATTTTAAATGACTAAAATTCAATTATTAGTGATTGAAAGTAATTTTATCACCCTTATAAAACTTTTCTTGTTAGATTTAAAAAAAATAATATTATGTTCAAAGTTACCCCAAAAAAGCAAAAAGTTACCCTAAATTGGCTTAAAATTACCCCGGCCCTAATCTGCGCGATATACACTAATATTAGTGTAAACCGGATGTATACAAAAGTTTTGTTTGATATTTAATTATAAAAAGAATAAATAAACAATAATTTTTTTAGGAAAAAAAATATCATATAAATTATCAACATAAGATTTTCATTACTTATTTTTGTCAAGCAACTTATCTTGATAATCAATATCTATGTAAAATATCAATAAATAACTGTATAACTTATTGATTGATAACTGTTAATTATTATATAATGTATATATAGTACCAAAATATAATTTCAAATACATTGATATTTGAATTAGAGTTGATAGTAGGAGAAAAGTTGAATAAGAAATAAGATTTTATTGGAATAATGATTAGAATAATATTATTTTATTAGGTTGGATGGTTTTGAATGAAATAATAGGGTGAGCTTACTTATGTCCAAAAAGAAAATTTATTCACAGGGTTAATACATAGCTTTAAAATTTTTCATTTAGTTAATAAGAAAAATAACACTATTACATTACCACATATATACACTACAAGAAAAATGTCTTTTCGTGGCGATTATTTCGTAGTGATTGTACATTCACTACAATATGCAAGTTTGTTTGTGAATTAATTAAGGAAGTCGTATCATTTTACAATCGCCATGGTTTTCCCATATAAAATCGATACAGAAAACATAATAATACATATCCACACTATTTTTACACATTTATATAATTTTGAGAAATCGTATCATTTACAATCGCCACTAAATCCTAAAAATCGATACGAAAAGCCTTTCCAACACTAGATATATAAATATTGTTTGACAAAGAACACATAAAATATGCATAGCTTATTGGTGTGTGAAACATTTAATATAAGAGTTTGAGGTTGCATGTTTGAATCTTGTAAAGATCATACGCATGTTTTTTTTTTTTAAGAAAATGAGTTAAACATTTATAGCGATTGTAATCGCTACAATAATCACCACGATTGGATGCAGTTTTTCGTATCGATTATTGAGGCCAACCCCAGCGATATTGAAAACCACTACTAAAGGCTAAGACAATGGGGGATATTGTATCGAATGACCATTCGTTGGGAAAGCTTTTTGTTGCAATTCCAATCGTTACTAAAGGTTAAAATAATTGCTACGAAAAGGTTATTTTCTTGTAGTGATAGAAATACAAAAAATAATCATATGCTCAACTATTTAACTTTAAAATACATATTTAGCTGTTCGGTTTTTTCATGAATATGTTTCATTTTAATAAACATTTTGATAATTTAGTTCATACTTTTTTTTTTGACAATAATACTGAAATTAACCGTGCATGGCACGGGACCTAATCTAGTTGTATACTAGTTTTGTGCCCCTGATAATGTCCGGGTTGTTTATTAAATTTTAAAATAATTTTTTTAAAATCTATATGTGAAATTTTAAAACATATCGATCATTTATACAAACATGTTATATAAAAGGCGTATATCCTTTTTGATTAATTTAATGATATTTTGACATAAGATACCATTGATTGACGGTGCTTTTTCTGTGTGGTTGGTCACACAACGTGTGGTCGGGGTTACTTGTAGGAGTTATTTATTCAAAGATTACACAGTCGATTAGGGTTTATTTAATTATAGGGGTTACTTATTTAGAGGCTACTCAGTCAATTAGGGTTTTCTTTATTATAAGGGTTACTTATTCAAGGATTATTCAGTCGTTTAGGAGTTACTTATAGGGGTTATTCATTTGGTTATGAGTTACTTATAGGGGTTACTTCTGCGGCCACACGTTGTGGCCAACCACATGTAAAAATTTGTATTGATCTATATAATAGCACAATATATATAATATAAATATACACTCTATATGAGAGAACTATTTATATAATTCAAATTTTTTACTAATGAAATAATAATCACTTGACAAACATACTTGTTAAATTATAATAAAAAAAAAAAAAAAAAAAAAAAAAAAAAAAAAAAAAAAAAATTAGTATTACTACTCATAAAACTGTGTCGGGAGGGATTAAAAGAATCTACTTGAAATTTGTTAAACAATAATAGCATGGTTAGAGCAATTAGAAGAAATCGATTTGGAGTTGCACCTATTATCATATTATTGGATAATATTTTTATGTTAAGTTGGGATTTCAATATACGTAAGAAATGTTGAATTTTCTTTTTTAAAGTATAAATAAGAAAACATATTAAATTATATTAAAGATCGTAAATAGGTTTCTAAACTTTGGAAAATTTTGCTATGCAAAAACTATAACTATAGTTGTTACATGAAAATGTAAAATCAATTGTATTGTAATTAGTCTAGTGCGCTTTGTATTAGGCCTATTGTTTCAATCAAATTACATTTTAAGTCACAGACAACACTTGCAATTTATATTTAATATGATGGTTTAGTAGAATTTTAATTTGTAAGGTTATCCTTTTAGGCGAACAAAAGCATTACATGTATGTCTTTGAGCCTAGGCATAGCTCCCAAAAGGGAAGAAGCCAAAGCACATATATGTTAATAGGTGATAAGGTGAACGTACATGCGAGTGTGCGACGATGCAGGTTTATTGTACAGTTGCGATGAACTTGGTGTCTGTTTTAGTATTATTATGTTATTGATAACGTGATACATTCCCATGATATCAAAATAAGAATATAATTTAAAATTATATTGTTTTACTAGTCTTTATTAAATACTCATATTTACTGGTTTAAATTAACTTAGTTTTTTACTCTATATATGTGCATAGACTAATCTCCTTAAAATTCATTAATAAATTTTACTTAAACTTAATAACACATTAACACACATTAAGCAATTTAATTTGCAAATTAGACAATACATCATGGATGGACAAAACCCTAATAATGTATAAAATAGTTCTTGTTTTTTTTTTTTAAAAAAAGATCACATCTTGTTTCTTGATCACTTCATTAAATAATTTGCTTATTTAAATAATCTAACTTATTCTGTTCTTTGCATTAAGTCGTTATTTAGGGTAACTGTAATGATTTGGATTTAATCATGTGCTTATACTACAATTATTATAGAGATAAGAAAGCCGTAGAGGAAAGCTTTTGCTACATAAAAGATGCTTATGAAGAATTAAAATCGAATTATGTAGTACTGCAATCTTACTAATGTTTCTTTGTCCAAATCAAACATTTACTACTAACAATTAATTGACATAACAAGAATAAAATCTAGGCAGACAACCTAAACTCAAGAAAACATACATACTTAACTAAGACTCTAAGTGTCTCTAAGTCACATTTAGTACACTAACATAAAAGAGTATCATCGAATAGTCTATTTTTATACTAAACTACTAAAAATAGAATTTGCGGTACCAAGACCATAATGGCAGCTCCCAGTTGCCTCTTCTTCGATTATTCTCAGACCTTCCACGCTGTGACTGCTGTCGCTCTGCATCTTGGTTGTGTTGGCTTCTGTTTGAGGATGTGCTAGCCTGACCTTGACCGTTATTACGAGGAGCATCATTTGATTTCACATGAGGTTCATGTTCAAATTCTGTTATGAGTTGTTCCATATTCTCAGAAACCAGCGCGATTACTTTAGCAGACGAGTCAATTTCTCCTTGAATGTTGTCCATGATATCCGGAATTGTATCAACTCCGAGTAAGAAATCAAAATTAATCGTTCTAATCATATCAAGGCCATCAATAATAATCCTCAAAGTAATAGATATCGATACTTCCTCTGACATTTTCCCCTGTAACCTGAATTTCTTATATCCGCTGTCAAATTCCCTCAGTACTTCTGTAGGCTGCAGTAGTAGTCAAGCCACTTGATCTTGCACAGATTCTTTCAGAGACAGATTACCAGAACTAGTACTTGCAGTCGATGTGTCAGCAACATCGACTGCAAGCAATGGGTCATTCAGAAGGTCCAATGCCGTCGGTCCACCAGGTGCAAAGTCAATACACTTATCAATCAACTGCTTCATCTGAGGGTGAGTCACACCGAATAACCCAACAGACTTGAAACCGGTATTAAGCAGATCGTTGTAGCTTCCGAGATCGGTGATTTGTAACTCTTTATTCACCATTTCCGTTAAACTACTCCCAAACGAAAATATATCAGTCTGAAACGCTGGTGTACTCCCTGATTCAAAAATCTTTGCCATTCCCAAGTCTCCTAGTTTAATCGTGCTCGTGTTGCCTTTAACAAATATGTTACTACACTTAATATCACGGTGGGTAATAGGCGGATTATTAGTATGAAGATAGTGTAACGCACTTAAAATCTGTCTACACCAATTCTTGATTGCCGTATTTCCTACAAGATTATTCACATGTTCTCTGCTGTAGTCTGTCAGATTTCCGGAAGAACAAAACTCAGTAATCATGTTGACGACTTTCTGGTCATCATCAATCCAATAATGATAGCATTTCGTAATGTTTTCATGGTCTAACGACTGCAGTAGTCTAGCTTCTGCACATAATTCCTCAAGATTTTCCCTAGACGCTTCTTTTCCTGGTAGTAATCTCACCTTACTCCAAGCTATTTCAGTACCACAACGCCTATCCAACCCCCTGTAAACTTTTTTTGACGAGCCTTCTCCGATGAATATTTCGTACCTTGCGAATTGTCTTGTGAGATCTGTCTCCATAACCGTATAATCGTTGGCTTGTGAACTCGAAGCCGCCATTACTAATCGAGTAGTTATTAATTAGAAGCAACAAAACAGTACACAGAACAACCGAAAGAATATTTTTGATTAATTTTTTGGATAAAAATGAAGTAGAAATGGAAATAATAGAAATGGATAATTTTTAAAGTAGAAACAAAATAATAGAAATGGATGGATGAGATATTTATAGTTGTAATTAGTTATTAAGTTGTTAGATAAAGTCGGTTATCAAGATCAAGAAACTTAAAATGGTGTTTCTTGATTTTTTTTAAAATGTTTTTTTATTTTTATAAAATATACTTCATTTCTTTAATTTGCCTTACAAAAAAAAAAAAAAAAAGGTTTAATTTTGTTCGATAATTACTTTGGAAATTAATAAAGTGAAATATAATTAGCTCTCAACTTCTTAGCAATATATAATATGAAATGTATAATGAAACTACAAAAATTTAGAAGCAATAATAACATGTTACATTCGGACTGATATTAAAATTAGAATTTAAAATTAATTTGTGTTATTAGTCTTTTTTTCATTAATACTATTTTAAGTAATATATTAATCCATTATCAAATGCCCCGGGGCGCTTGTTAGCAAGGTCATAATAAATTTAGGAAAAAATTGTCTGATATAATCCCATCTTTGGGGCGTCCGCCAAAAATAATACCACCTTTGGATTATTTTTTAATAATCCCACCTTTAATGCTAATCTGCTTTAATTGGTCCCAGGTGACCGGTAACCTATTGAATAGGTTTTTTTTTTTTTTTTTTTTGAGTTTAAAACACAGGTGTCACTATTTGATTCATCAAAAAATTAAAATTAAAAAAAATGAATTTAACAAAATAAAAAATAGCACTCAAAAAAAAAAAAAAAAAAAAAAAAAAAAAAAAACCGGCAGCCCCAACTCCAGTCACCCCTTACACAGCCCCAACCCCACCACTTGAAGCTGTAGTTGACCGGGGGGGCCGAAAATGTTGATGGAGAAAAGCTGCTGCTAACTAGCGGCCAAAATTGTTAACGGGGATGATGAGTAGGACTGAAATCGAGATGGGGGAAGGGGATGGAGATCGAAATTGGGGCGGGGGAAGGAGTGGGAGGCCGAAATCAGGACGGGGGAAGGGGAGACTGCTAAAATCGGCACCGGGAAGGGGGCTAGAATCGGGACGGGGTTGGTATTTGCGGTGGTTTGAAGGTGATGGGGTTCGAATTGGTTGTGATTGTGCTTGGTATTTGCGGCGGGTTCGAGGGTGCAGAGGTTCGACGGTTCGGCGACGATGATAATGCTGTGGCAGGAGTTCAACAACGGTGGTGGTAAGGGCTGGATGGGCTTGCGGCAGCGGGGTGGCTTGGTTGGGCTCGCAGCAGTGGGCCAGGCCGACGGTGGTGTTCGTGGTATTGGTGGTTTTAGGGTGAAAGGGAGGGGAGTCGGCGTTCCAGGGGAAGGGGGAGGGTTTTGGCGCTCCGGCGCTGGTGGCCAGGCTGGTGGGGTTGCGACAGCCATGGAAGGTGGTTGGCTGGTGGGGGTAGTTTTTTTATTAATTAATAACTTGTTTTTTAATTTTATTCTTAAAAAAAATTAATTTTAGATATTATTTAATTTTTTTTTTTGACCAATCAGATGCCGACATGTGTCTAGTAACTTGCTATTACAAGTTAAATGACTGGTTAGGATCAAATAAAGCGGATTAGCATTAAAGATGGGATTATTTTTTGACAGACACCCCAAAGGTGGGATTATTCCGGGCAATTTTTCCATAAATTTAAGTGAAACTAGAATAACACATTAATAGTTAAATCTGTTATGAAAATATTGTGTGGATATCCATTATCCTCTTTGTATGTTTCCAGAATTCTAGATCTAGGGTTTATTCTTATCTAAGCAAACCCTACTTATAATATTCTATGTATATATATACCCTATCATATATGGAATAATATGAACAGATATATTCTCTATCAATCTCTCTTATATTTCTCTTTATTTTACAACACGTTATCAGCACCAAAGATCTAATCAATATGCAAATTCAATATGTAAATTTTATTGTTGATTTCTTAGGTTAATGATTAATTCGTTGTATACTGAATGTGCTAAATTATACTCATTATTATCTTGTTGTGTCGCATCTCAGGAAGAAATTAGAAGGAGATTAATCTTGATCATGGGTTTTGATCTTCTAATAATGAAATCACACGTTTCAAGAATGTCATATCATTCCCAATCCTCATTAATTAATTTGGGACTAGTACAAGGCGTCTCACGGTATTAATAATTTGGTTACAAAGAACTACTCGTATTATTTTTCGATTGCATTGGTTTGTTTATCTTGAATCATCTTTCTCATCTATCCATAATATAATAGATTAGCCTTAATCAAGGGCTATACTTTATTTTCTTTTCATTGACGTTTTCATGAGTTATAGGCTAGCAGATGACGTTGATAATATGAAGCTGACGATAAGTTTTGATATCAGCAAAGTTCATTCTCAACTATCCTGTTATGGTTAATTTTAAGCCTTTACATAATATGTTTATATTGTTTCTCAAATTTTCGTATTTTTATTATTCCTGGAGTTCAATGAGCAATTTGGGAATAGTTGAATTTGATGCAGAATAACTAATTAGTAGTTTTGTTTTGATTATGAGTTTTGTTTAGTTTGAATCTAAAAGGGTATCTAGAGTTATTATTGGTGTTAATTTTATGAACGTATGGTTTTCATGAAATTGTATTACATATATTTGCTAGATTTGGTATTACTTTTCCTATCTGTAAATGAGTTTGGTTATTTCTCTATGCTTGATAGCAAATATGAATGGTTTGATTTAGCAATTATTTACCCATATAATTTGTTTGTGAAATCCTATGTCTAATGCCTTGAATGTTTGTAAATTGTACGAAGTAAGCCTAAGGTACATGTGAAACTATTTATAATTTATGTATTGAATTATGTTTTTATATTTCAAGTATGATATGAAACATGTGGTTTTCCACAAACGTGAACGTGTTAATTTTGGTTGCTTATGTGCTTGTTTCTATTTTCTAATTAAGCTTTATCAGGCAATATATTGATATAATTGATCTGACAGTATAGTTGATTCAATCGATTCAGGTATGTTTTTATTAAAGCGTGAAGTAGTAGGTTTTCATATTTTTACCTTCTCATTCAATTATAGTATTATGTACCTACTTGAAGTTAGATTATTGGAATGAATGTAAATTGAATATAATTTGCGGACCTGAAGTTCCTTATATTTATAAAGAGTATTCACACACATAGATTTAAAGTTCGCTTAGATATCCACTACATACTAACGTGATTCTATAAAAACAATGTCATGTTTAATTATGTTTCCAAAGATTAATTTTAATTTGGCTAGTATAGTTGAGTGGATCGAATAAGGTATGTTTTGATTAAAGCTCGAACTGATTATGTCATGTCTTATTTTTACCTTCTCTTTCTGAAAAATGTAGATGGATTGGTATATATTCTCCTACATATAGACTTTAAGTTCTTTAATTAATTAAATATATAGCAAAAAGTGTGTTATGAGTTCAAGTAATTAAACATGACATTGTGAGAAACTATACATAATCAACGTTTTATTATGCCCATAAATATAAGAGAGATTGATAGAGAATATATCTGTTCATATTATTCCATATATGATAGGGGTATATATATACATAGAATATTATAAGTAGGGTTTGCTTAGATCTAGAATATTCTAAAAACATACAAAGAGGATAATGGATATCCACACAATATTTTCATAACACTCCCCCTTGGATGTCCATTATCGAAGATTGTGCCTCGTTAAAACCTTATTTGGAAAAACCCTGTGGGATAAAAACCTAATGAAGGAAAAAGAGTACAACATTCTTCGTAATACGCTCAAAATGCTGCCTCGTTAAAAACCTTGCCAGGAAAACCCAATGTGGGACAAAACCATGGTTAAGGGAAAAAGAGTGCAGCGCGTAATTTCTCCCCCTGATGAATGTATAGTTTGAGATCTTATAATGCAATGAATCCAATATAGTTGAGTGTCTTCACATATGACGCAGAATAATATCATTCCTTGATTTTAATTTCGGGTCTTCCAAATCTTTAAATTTTTACCCAAACAAGTGAGTCTTCATATCACCAAACCTATAACAATAATACATGTGTTTGTCCACATTTCATTCAAAATCTCTGTTCAAAGTTGCCTTAACTATTATACTTATGCCTTCTTCTGGAGGTCATGAATAATCGAAATTGATGATCATTATAATTTGATTAAACATTCCTTAATAATAATATGGCAACCCATGATAGTATTAATGTTGATTTTTCAATCTTGTATGCAATAATAATATAGCACATGTAATTATATACATTGATCATGGCTCTTCTGGACCATGATAAAACAGTCTCACGCATAAGTATCTTGTTGATTCTTTAGAATATTTATAATTAACACGATAGTTCTCTTTCATATACAAATAGTAATTCTCATTACTAACACTTATATGCTCAAATTTCAGGTTGAGATGTCAATGATTTAGTCACATGGACTTTTCAAGAATGTGATAGTGGGATAAACATAAAATTAAGTGATAAAACGAATAATTTTACATATAATTTTACAACAAAATCCAAAATTACATATAATTAAGTGATAAAACGAATAATTTTACAAAGATATTTATTCTGTAAAAATCAAGAAATGGTATTTTCGGTTTCTTGTTTACCGACGTCATCCCAATTGTTATACATATATATAAACAATTAGAAAATGAAAAAAAAAAAAATTAACAAGCAAAAATTAAAAATTACTCTGCAAATCATTTTTTTCATTTCTATTGCCACAATCCACCATACTTTCTTCAACAAATATAATCTCTAACGTTACTCTCTTGAATAATACAAATCCTCGTGGACTTATTATAACTTTTTTTTTTTTTTTTTAAATGTCTAGTTCTATCTTTAATTGATCGACTTCATTAGTCATGGCTTCAAGGTCATCGAAGGGAGGTA